ACCCTAACCATCCAAACTAAATGCCTAACCCTAACCCTTAACCTAAACTTAATTCTAACCCTAACCCCAAAACCTATTCTTGACCCCCAAACAGTGCATTAAATGGGGGGTCACAAAGTGACGATTGGCTCAAATGTTCTCACTCCGTTGGTTAAAGGCTAAAACTGGTCCTCAGAAAGATAGCTGTACAAACACACACACTCTTCATATATCATATTTCTTCAAAGGTTCTTCAGGTAATCCAGTGATAATTATATTAATAACTATCATGCAGATATGACGGTGGTATCAATCTTCTTATCTACCATTTAACTCTCGACTGACTGACAACTATAAATTCAACCCCCCTGTCAATGTAACCCTGGCCTTAGGATGAACCCCAGCAAATTAATATATAACTTTTCCATTATGAGTCCTCAGTGTTTAGAAATGCCATTAGAATATAAATGGGTTATACTCATACATTTGCAAATAAATAAAGATAAATTGATAATAAATCAATAAATATGTGGGATGTTAAAACCTAAGATTGCCTATAATCATCACCATTTAATAATAACATCTATACAAGCAAAGTGTCGAACAACATATAGACATAAAAAAATGCTTCTGGGCATTTGCTACATGTACAGACAAAGACGTGCACGCTAACGCTAAAGGGATGTTTGTTTTGCATATTGCATATATGCTGATGCTGCTGCTTTATTTTTTCCTCATTTGACGTCGCATTGACATTGTCTTTTTAAATTGCTTTTCAAGCCAGTTTCTTTCTTACTTACTCTTCGTTACTTTTACTTATTTGTCACTCTCTATCTTGTTCCCTCATCTCCAGGCCTTTCATGATGCCAAACCTCATCCCTCCTAAGATCCCAGATGGGGAGAAAGTGGATTTCGACGTGAGTGACTGGGAATCAAAACAGTCAATCATACAGAACAAAATTTGCGTATAAGTTTCTGTCTTAAGGTATATTATGTAACATCAGTCCATACCAGGCTGGGGTAGATCTGTCTAATGGCCTTCTTTATATTATCTGATGTACTTTTTTACTGAATCAGACCGATAGGAAATACAGTATCCTGTCTTTTTGAAATGTAGAGAACAATGAAATAAAGGCCCAAATCTCTTTTTCTGAAGGATATACATCGTAAAAGGATGGAAAAGGATCTGATGGAGCTTCAAACTTTGATCGAGGTTCACTTTGAGAGCAGAAAGAAGGAGGAAGATGAGCTCATTCATCTCAAGGAGAGGATTGTGAGTGCCCTGTGCTCTAATCGATCTCCTGCAAACTGATTCACATATACATAAAACTAAATCTCTGTTTCAACATGGTGTGTAGGAAAAGCGCCGCTCTGAGAGAGCAGAGCAGCATAGAATCCGCAGCGAGCGAGAAAAAGAGCGACAGAAGCGTCTTGAGGTACAGTCCTGTTCCAGCTGCTTTAATATAAAACTACAGCTGCCTGGGTTTATTTATTCTCTCTCAATCCATGTTTTCCAGGATGAGAGAACTCGTAAAGAGGAGGAGGAGGCCAAGAAGAGAGCAGAGGACGATGCCAAGAAGAAGAAAACCCTCACCAGCCTCCACTTTGGAGGGTACATGCAGAAGTTGGTGAGCAAATGAGTGATTTATTGTGGCATTTCCAAGAAGTTAAAGTAGTAAATGTGAGGAATGTAGACTAGAGCCTTGAATTATTTCACTTTCCCACAGACAGAGAAACGGAGCGGCAAGAGGCAAACTGAGAGAGAGAAGAAGAAGAAGATCCTAAGTGACAGGCGCAAATCTCTAGACATCGAGAACTTCAGCCAGGATAAACTCAAGTATGAGCAGAATATGTGGATTTTGTTATGTTTGTATGGGACAGTCTTTATGATCCACAACAGGAAATGGAAATGATAATAAATGACAACTCATTTGTCTCTGTCTCACAGGGACAAGGCCAATGAGCTGTGGGAGTGGATGTATCAGCTGGAGGGAGAGAAGTTCGACCTGCAGTATCAGTTAGGCAGTCAGAAATATGAGGTGTGTGTATGCAGAGGTTTTACAACACACATCCTTGATGTATTAATGTCTTAATGTAGCATCATTACGGTAACATTGGTGTGTTGTCTTTGTTCCAGATTAACGTGCTGAGGAACCGTGTCAGCGATCATCAGAAAATGTGAGAATGAACTCCAAATCATTTCACGCCACTCTCACATATTTTACCAAACTTCCTGTCCCTTGAAAGGAATTTAACTGTCCTGGAGGGGAATTCTCTCCTGAACCAGAATGTTGTGAGCATGACCTATATTTCTGTGGAACTCCTGTGTCATCCACTAGCTGCATTCCCTTTTAGCCATTTAGCCCTAAATACCAGAAACTCCATTACCACCTTTCAAGTCAAACAGCCTCAGAGAAAAAGAGAAAAAGAGAAAACCCAGTTTGTTAACTTCCTTCATTGGTGTTTGCATAACCTGAAGTTTTTAAAAGAATCCCCTGATTATTGAATTGTGTGTTTTTTCAGGTTAGAGTTGACACAAAGATGGTGAATATTTTGTGAAGTTTGTACCTTGCTCTGAATCCTGACTGACAATTTTTGCAAAAACGCCATTTAGTGTTCAAACACAGGGTTACTCAATGTTTTAAATCACGATGAAAAGGTAAGTGAGTTCCATAGAGTTACAACATTTAAGTTGTAAAGAAGCTTAAACTTTGTGAGTCATTTTTCATCCAAATGGTTGTGTAAAACAAAGACAATCGAGCGAACTGTAAAAATCCATAACACAACCATATACTCACAACACACCTAAAAACTTAACACAACCAGATATTCAACACAACCAAATATTCACAACCAAATACAGCACAAGCAAATACACAAATACTCACAATACAACTAAAGTGTTTCCAGGGAACACTCAAAAGTGATGAAGACAGATGGGCTACTATTTAGCTTACATGATGTCCTCCTCTTTCTCAGTTAATTAAAGTGTTAGACTACTTACTTAAATTGTCAGGCTCATTATACACATTAACAGCATTTATATGCAAAATATTTTATTTGTCTTTCAAAGCTCATCAAACCCCCGGAGGCATTTTTTAACACTGATTGGACTAGCTGGGCGCGGCAGGCAGGTGGTGCAGCTGGCACACCCAGACATGCTATAGGAGCATTTTGATGCGTCACTCGCTGTGTCGTTGGACTTGTGAAATTTGGAATGGATGATTGAGGATTCTGCTAAATGTTTTAATTCATGTGAACAAACAAGTGTGGCCTGATCTCTTCCTCATCTTCGTCGTCTTTGTTTTCAACAGATCAAAGAGGACCAAGAGAGGACTTAGGAAATAAATGCTGACATGAGGAGTGAGCAGTGAATCCACGAGCCGTTATTGTACCAGCTCAAAAAGAATCCTGGCTTTAGTGCCACACCCAGTCCCACCTGTCTCCCTAATAATACCAGTTCCCATTGTAGACACTCCACCCCACTATTTTCTCATCCTTTGAATTAGATGTTTAATGGTGTAAATAAAACCTTATTTCAGTCACTTGTTCCTCCTGTTTCAGACCTTTTTTGTGCAGGTGTATATGTTTGTATGTAAAGTGCCTTGATTATGATTTGGCGCTATACAAATAAAAAATTAAATTAAATTATTTCAGGAATTCAAAAGAAAGTTGAGTTTAAGAAATCCTTAAGAAATGAACAGTATCTTCCATCATGGCTGAAGTTGTGTAAATGCCAATGATGCACATATATCACACAAACATTTCTCCATCAATCTTTCCAGAGGCGAGTGAACCTCAGCATGACCATGTGTAGATAGGCGATGAGAGCAGAAACCCCGTAGCGTCAGTTTCAGTATAATGTGCAGCTGTCAACCGAGGCACGTCCCCTTTATTATCTGTTCAGTTTAAAGACTATTGCTGCTGCTTAAACTCATAATTTTCAAGTTTATTGCTCAATATTTCAATACTTAATTTGTGTAGAGTGAATCAAAGTGTATGTGCACCAGTGTGTGGGTGATACAGTCGTGTATTATATTCCAACCATCCTCTGGCTCTAGTTTATGCAGGAAAAGAGAATACCGGACCAAAGAAACAACGGCCTAGGATTTATACATTTTTAATTGGTAAGTTAATGACAAAGCTACATGATACAACAAGGCACAAGGTATTCGACTGTAAAGGAACAGTTTGACATTTTGAGATCATTTGTTTTTTGTGGAAATTTAGATGAGATGCTAAATGTGTAGCTACCACCAGCTCGAGCTTAGACTGGGAAACGATGGGACTCGACAGTCTGTCTGCAATGGCTACATATTTCCATTAACTCCTTATGCAATGTTTGTAAAAATAAAATAATAATAATCAAAACTGGATTTTGTTTGGATTAAACAACCAGCTTTTAGTTTGGAAGCTTTGCAGTTGCGTGCAGCTGCATTTTGTTCCTTTTCGACTGAATCAGGCTAGCTGTTTCCCTCTGTTTCCAGTCTTTGTTCTAAGCTAAGCAAACAGGGAGCAGGCTGTAGCTCCATAAACGCGTTTCCCAAAATGTTAAACTATTCAAACGATTTCAGCATGGTGGTTGAATGTAGACAACCGAATGAAGTAGCAAAAAAAAAAAAAAACATGACCAACAATGAAGCATTTCTTTGGTTTCTTGTGAAAATCCAAGTGCTAGCTCTTTCTTGACCCGAGCGTTTGCTCAGTTTTTTACATACTAAAGGTACATTCAACATATGAAACCATCGTCAACCTTCTAACTCCAAAAAATACTAAACGAACAACACAGATGTTTTTATGATATTGTTACTGACAGAAAACACTCTTTGGGTGGACAATGACAGCAGCAATATCACAAATTACACAATCTTTTTTGGTCTTCTCAGCTTCTCACATGTTTTTCTTATAACTTTCATTTTCAGCTGCTCAGTCCTCAAGGCCACTTTAGATATTTTATCTCTTAGTCTGCTGCACAGACAAATTTGATAGCTATGCAATTCATAAATCTGAATAAGTAACATTTCACTGAAGATAATGTCGTCTGTCCACAATATCTGGTGTACTGTGGCTCACAGGCTGTAAAAACTAGTTTTCAGTACACTTAACCTACCAAAAACACACTCACCCATACATATATAAACACACACAGAAACATATTCAAAATTAAATACATACAACACCGCAGGATTACTCATGAAATTGAAAGCTCACTCGTCTCTATAGTATGTACAATATACTATTGACTGCTAACTGGATCTTTCGGCAAAGCTATTATCAGGGGAATTTCACTCTCCTTGTTGATTGGGTGTGGCCGCAGCAGTGTCTTAACATGCTGGTTTCCATCTGCAGGTACACACATGAGCAAAAAGGAAGAACAGAGAGAGGAGAGACACAGAGAAAAGGTTTTAATCCGTTTGATACAATCTGTCCTGAATGTTTAAATCCTGACTACACAGAGTCACAAGTGGCCAGAAACTGATCGTACCTCTAGAGCCCTGTGCCGCTGCCAGTCTGTCATGCTCAGTCGATGACTTGTACCGACCTGTGCACTGCTTTGGTGTTCTCATTGACAAAAAGTGACTTGGCCAAACTGAGCTGTGGATCAGAGAGTTGAAAAGGAATCAGTGAAGGACGTCGCACAACAACTTCTACACACGAGGCAGCCCTGCACTTATCGTGAGAGGAAACACTGTTTAATCATTGCTACTGTTCATCTGAAAAGCACATTTGCTCACACTTGTATACTTTGTATAAGTTTCTAGGCAACATTCTCTCATATTCTGTCCACCCTCATCTGACCCGCACTGTCTTGGACTCCTCTCCATCTCTCTTCTCATTCCCATGTGTTACTTGTGCAGAAATAGACAGCGCACGCTGAAAACCCGTCTGCCAAGATTCCAGTGTGACTGTTTCTGTATTCACAGAACTCTTGGGTGTGGCAGGAGGGAAGGGAAAGTGTGTGTGTGTGAGTCAGAGGAGTAATAACACACACCTAACCTATTCTGCGTGGCCCTCCCAGTGTTTGTGCAATGCAGCACAAGCCTGACGCACTAAGATGTAACCTCCTGGGTTTTATCACTGTCAACTGCACATTTCTGCATATTACCTCAGACTAATTTACCTTCTTCAAGACACCCTGAAAATTCTTCTCGTTCCACAAGTTGTAGAGCAGCAGCGAGGCGGCTTTGCTGCTTTTGGGGAGAGACCTGGGACGAGGGCAGAGGACAGTGAGAAAAGGTTTGCAGCACAAGACAAATAAAGAGCAGTTATAAAACATGAAAGGATTGTGGAAGCAAACAGGCACTAAAAATATCACCTGCACTTCAGGTATTTTAGACACTTTGCATAACTTCAAGTTTTACTGAGAGGCTGTTTGTGCTAAAAAAAAAAAAACCTTGACAGCAAATTGCTGCAGTTGTGATGTTACACTAGAAAGTGACTTACTGTGTATTTGCTTCATATATGCTCTGTTATTTGTGAATATTTTGAAGTGGATTAAACTCCCCTGAAGAGATGATTTACCCAAATTATGAAATAGAAACTATTTGCCTCACTTAATCTCAGCTGTATGTTCCCACAAGGACAGGTTTGGTTTTATGAAATGTTCCTGGATACAAATACAGTGGAGGTGAATGTTATATAATTTGCTTTATTGGTTATAAATGTTCCCAGCAGTGAAAAGACTTCAAAGAGTCCAATAGCAGATATGTTTTAGATACTATTTATCGATCAGGATCTAAGCTTTAAAGGAGCAGAGAGAGCGAGGAAGACATGCTGCAAAGGGCCGGCTCAGAAGCGAACCTGCTGTGGCTGCTGTAGAAGACTGAAGTCACAGTACGTCACCTGGTTCATCCATATTATTTTTGTCAGTTGTGTGAGCAAAACAAACAAAATTCCAGACAAAAAAAGTGGCAGAGCAGGTAGCAATTGGTTGTCCGCTAAATGGAAGGTCAGCGGTTTAATCCCTGACTCCAGTAGTCTGCGTGTCTTAGAGCCCCTGGGCAAGATACTAAACCCTGACCACTTTGAGTGGTTGAAAAGAAAAGAGCTGGACTCAATTTGCGGATCTCAAAATATACACAGATAAAACTTATGTGAAGTAAAACAACTTTATTTATACATCCCCTTTTCAGTTAGAGAGATAGTTCAAAACCGTTTACATGAGTCAGTGAAATGCATCTAAGTTTGTCACAAATATAAAAGCTGAAGAATAAATAAAAACTCACCCATTCTCGCTGATGTCAGCCAGTGATGTCACCAGTAGATTATTAATGACCTTCTTGCCGATCTCAGGTTCTGCCATCATCAGAGACCAAGCTGTGCCGCAAGCTGCTGATATGGTATCATCGCTTTTTCCCATTTCTCGGGGGCCAGAGGAGAGGAGCCTGGTGAGCTCCGGCAGAATCTGCTTTGCTACAGAGAAGAAATGGGAAACAGTAAGATCTGATTTATACAGACTACAACTACATTTTGTAAGGATGCAACTGGTATTATCAACGTCTCGTGTATCTCCGTACCCATGGCGGGCTGCACACTGCAGGTCCGAGACATGTTACTCAGCAGGGCCATGGCAGTCTTCTGCAGGGTATCGTTAGGCGACTTCAACAGAGGAGAAATGTGCAGCAGAGCGCTCAACTTGTGAATCAGAATCCTGGTCACACCCATGGAGCCCTGAAACAACAGCAGAACAAAGAAGGAAAGAAGAGGTTGTAATCTCCTTAATAACTCTAGATGTAAATATTTATCCTATATTTAACTTTGTAATAATTTGGTGGCAGCATTGTTACAGATTTCCCTTTTTTGAAGATCGTTCGTTCAACAATTACCACTGAATCCAGGGATACAAAGCTGTTGTGTCATTAATCCCACCACCTCTCTGCCTCTGGGGCTTTTCGTCTCTCCTAAATCAATCTGAGATGATCTTGAATGTTCGCTAGCAAAACGCACAAAGTTAGGCCTCATAATTGTCTTCTTTGCACTCACCATCCCCCGGTTGGCTGTGAGGTTCTGCAGGGCACCGCAGGTGGCCTCCAGGGTGGCGTCGTTCCGGGACGAGCCCAAAAGGGACAGGTAGGTTTTCATGGTTTTGGGATGGCTCAGGACGTTTTCGCCTGAAGGGGGGCTTACCTCTGGCAAGGCCTGATCCACATCAAACAAAAACTGAGGAGACGGGAAGACAGGAGACTGTTAGTGGGGTTCAGATTGCAAAGCTGGATGGAGGTGTGCATGCTGGTTGGTGCTCACCTCCTTTTGAAGCTTGCTGCTCCTGGGGCTGAAACATCCCATTGTGGGGCTTTTCTCACCCTCGAACTGGCCCAGGTTTTGAGGATAGTACCTGCTAAAGGCTTTTGGGGACTCCGACTCCAGTTGGTAGGTCAAGTTGTGGAGGATGCATGCACAGTTCTCCACAGACTAGAGGAGAAGAACAGAGAGGTTATTAACTATGGGCGGCTGTGGCTGAGGGGTCAAGTGTTTGTCCTCAAACCAGAAGGTCAGTGGTTCGACCCGCAGTCTTCCTCATCTTCCTTCCAAAGTGTTTTTGGGCAAGATACTGAACCCCTAAATTGCCCCTCATAGATGTTGAATGCACTAATTGTAAGTCCATGCAATGCATCTCTCTCCTTCTCTTCCCCTTTTTTCTCCGCTCATCCCATCTCGTCAAGGCAGATGGCCACCCACATTGATTCTGGTTCTTCCAGATTCTTCCAGATTCAATTAATGAGGTCGTTTTTTCTCCCCAAAGTCCCCCAAAGTGCTTGCTCATTGGGAACTATTGGGTTCGGCGCTTAAAACTGAACTGAACACCTTCGATTCAAACCTCTGCTTAATTTTCTCAAAGCTTTTACCCATGAAACTCTTGCTTGTTGTAAGCTATAATGATATAAATGTATTCTAGCACATTAAAACAACAATAGACACATAAAATAGAGTCATCCACTATTCAAACATCCACTGACTTTTGTATACATAACATGTCACGACATATTTAACAAGGACATGCACCCAATAGCTTTTAATTCTGATTAGAATCTTGATACTGATCCTAAATTAAAAAGCCAGTGACACGTGTTAGTTTACTACAAGAAGCTAATGTGTCACATCTACAAACCTGACATCAAACAAACAAAGCATTTTATGTCTCAGTCTCTTATACAACTGACAATCCCACTCAGCTCCTTCATTAAAAGAGGCCTGTGTAAACAATGCCAGCACAGACATGGAAGTAAATACACATCCACACCCCAAATTTCCACTGAAGAGAGGGCACACTAATTATATACACACTGTGGCTCTGAGGATGCATGTGAGTGTTCGCTCAATTGTTCTGTATGTGTGTACGTGCGCTTAAAGATATTTAGCGTCACACATGTGTTATACAGGAACTACGAGTACACGGCAGCATGACTACAACATAGCTCTTCTCATCTGTGCACAATTCAGTGTGACCAAGGTAGACAAAAACAAAAACATCCTGAGAGAGGAGAAAAACATTGATGTGGCCTAGTATAGAAAAAGATAATACTTGATTACAAGATCAGCAGTGCAACTATTAGATTAATGATGTTTTAACTTCAAGTATCTAAAAGAAATGTACTGATATCAATACTGCAACTTCTGCAATATCTAGAAATAGGGAAAAATGCACAATTTTCTCAACCAAAGGTCATAGAGTTGCCTGCTTTGTCCAACCAGTAGTGAGGAATCCTACTATAGTCAGTTTACAGTGATATAGAACATAGAAAAAACAATACATCTAAAAAAGATTAGCTTATGAGACTTAGTAACTCAAATATTAAAGTTTCTAATTACTTGACAATAAGTTGGTCATCTTATGATCACTAATTGATGAATTGTTCCAATTCTACTCAACATCGTCAGTTGAACCGATGGTGTGAGGGCAGTGGAGGAGTTAAAAAGCCAACAGACAATTATTTCTGTGTACATAAAAAATGAACTCTGATAACTCAATAGTTTTTTGTCAGGAAGTTTGATAAAGGAGGTCAAATGAGCGACGGTGCTATGATGATAATAATAATAATAATAATATAATGCTACTAACGGTTTCCATTTACAAATTAGAGGTGGGTGGGTTATGTTGATGTAAATGAAAGAGGTGGTGCCACTGCGTGTTTGGAGTTGTACCTTGTCATCAGGGTTATCCTCCGCAACACAGGACTGGATGTAACTCATGAGGGAGTCGATGAGGCCACTGCAATCTCTCATTGCGTGTCTCTCCCTCAGCTGACCACAGCTCAGGTTCCTAACAAAATCATTCAGACATTCGTTTAACTCTGCATGGAAACAAGGAGCACCTTGCACCGTACGCTAACTTCATCATCGGGATCAGGCACATGAAAATCATCCATATAAAGGTATCCTTGAAATGTTCTCACCGCAGGCATCCCGTGGCGTTGTAGAAGACATCGGGGTGAATGTTGTTGTTGGCGCTGTCGTCCGACCAGCATGTTAACGGCACCACCACATTCTCAGTCAAGGCGGGCAGTGCAGTCGCTGTGAGTTCTCCCTTCATCTCATCAGCAGACGACAGGTTCCATAGCAGGCCTACAAATTAAAAGACAAATGTAGTTGGTCAAAACACAGATTTTTTCCTACAAATGTAAATTTTGATTTTATTCTGTTTTGATACATTTTGGAAATGCTGGAGAAAATGGTCAGCACTATAAGCACATACATTTGAATATAATACCATTGAGACAAATATTATGTGGTTTACCTAAACATCGTTTATTCTATTCGTTATTATTCTAATTCAGATGTCCTGTTTGGGATAATAAAACATTTCAAGCGGTCTAAAGGGTAAATGTGTGAGATTGTTAACATTGTTATGACAACCAACAGCTATTTTCTATGTAAAGACGTAGTGGAGTAATGATGTCCTGAGAGAGTGAAGTCACATTCCCACTGTGTGTGTTGTAATGTTTTGGTAACCGTCCCGGGCGCACGTTCATGTTGGTGCATCCTGTGAATCTGTTGGCCCTTTCCGCGATTTAAAAGCGAGATGACTCCAGCTCAAATCTGCACTCAGTCATGCTAACCTCATTCTGAGGTAAACTTCTCCACGTTGGGATGTCTTCAGGGGACAAAACACAGTAAACACACCAGTCTCCTGCACAGTGCTTTAAAAACACCACAGCTGCATATTATCTCCATACAGCGCTAGAGACAGCACTGGCATGTTTAGGGGGACTGGTTTTCATAGTGTGTGTAATATGGTGCAATGAATGTTTAAATCTAATGAATTGTGCTTTAATTCGGAGACTGTCGGCCTGGCTGAACTTTGCAGTCTACTGAGTGAGATTCTAGGTCAGCTGTGGCTCTGTGTGTTTGGGGGGCTCTTTCATTGGGCTTTGCAACACCCACAGACTGTACAGGCAGCATCTTGTGAAGACCACAAGGGGAAGGAATGGTTCGAGAGGCTGGTACTAGTGTGAAATGTAGTGGCAATGAATATTAGTACATATATAGCCTTTGCAACCTTACTTCCCTTTATTATTATTATTCCAATTCCTTGTTACTCAATTTTAGTTTTCTCTTTTGCAAGTAACATGTACATCTGGGAAGAGAAGGATGAGTAGAATATATTTTATATACTTTTTCTGTGTACTCTGTATGATAAATTCATCCTTAACATAATGCAAACCAAGTTTGTGCATGTATATTATGTATATATTTGCCCTGGTGACCTGGTCTGTCCTATTATTTTATACTACATATATATACACATTCTATAAAAAGGCATCGTGTTGTAAAGCACATATTACTGCTCAGTGTATGTGAGATTTTCTCCTCTCAGTTTGGGGATAGGGCATCTTTGACGTCCTACCTGTGATTTGTTTCTGAGTCTCAGTAGAATCTGTCTCCTTCAGTAGCTGCAGGGCCTTGCCTATACCACCACAGTGTTGAACCTCCAGCTTGTTGCTCTGATCCTTAAACACCAGGTTCCTCAGGGCAGCAGCAGCAGCCTGGCTCACCCCAGGGTTGGGGCTCCGCAGCAGGGTCACGAGAAGAGGGATACCCCCTAGTTGGAAAACCTGCAACACAGAAACGAGGAGGGGATGGATGAGGCGTGGCGTCAACAACAGTGAAAGTTACAAACTGAACTAATAAATTGCTTTCTCCGCCCTTTCCCTCAAGGCAGTTCACAAAAATGTCCTCACTTAGCACTCCTCAGTTTGTATCTCTACAGTCGTCTATAGGACAACCTTCACACTAAACATTATTGACGTGTTTAAAGGACGTGTTTAAAGGACGTGTTTAAAGGACGCGTTTAAAGGACGCATTTAAAGGACGCGTTTAAAGGACGCGTCTGAGGTGTTTATAGTATATTTGTGCACAGACCTGCTGTTTGGCATGCTCCTCTTTGAAGGCGGTGTGTTGGATGAAGGTGGCACCGCACATCTGGAAATTCTCTTCAGGGTGAGACAGATACTCTACAGCCTCCTTCAGGGTCAGCTCTGATAAATTAATCCCACTGTTCACACTGGAGAAACAGAAATGACATATTTAATTGAATTTAATCGTAAGTTTGGTAAACAAAATGGATTTAAAGGAGACATATTACTTCCCTTTCATCTAGTGTATTAGAGGCTCTTTGTGAATGTAAAAACAGTCACAAAGTGACAGAGAGAGCTCCTCTTCCCGACAGTTTCTATTTCAACTCTGCTCCTGAAAAGACTCATCAGCATTTTGGCCAATACTAACCCACATTTGCATCATGCATGCAGAGTGGCTTGCCTGGCACACCCCCTAACAAAGCCAGTTAAAGTGAGAGCGGAGCCAAACATTTCCTATGCGCGCTGGAAGTTGTTGACCAATCACAACACAGTGGGCCAGCTAGCAAATCAGAGCTGCCGCAGCGGACAGTATGAGGAAAGGAATGTATTTTCTGAACATTAGAGCGTGTAAGAGAACCCAAGCTAAAATCGAAAACTTGAATATGAGCAGAATATGTATCCTTTAAGTTAAAGTAGGACACATTTTTCAATATATGTACAAGACTGCTGGTTGCAGCGTTCTTTGTGAAACTGTAAAAGTGACCTGCAGTAATTGAGCCATGGCAAGTGAAGACTGGCTGCAGGACTCAGACCACAGAATCCTGAAGCTGCACCACCACTGCTGCACAAAGAGCTACTCACCTGTTTATTCAAAGTTGAGTGAAGCTCAACTCAGTACACAGACCCCGAAACTGGAGAATCCATTACTCTTGTTATAAATGCACTGGTTGTCTGTTTATTCAAAGTTGATTGATATTGAACGCATCACTTGTCTAAGTCGCACTAAATTTGACATTGCACTTTCTTTGCTACATTGAAAAACATGGAAGTACTAAATAAAGATCGGTGCGAAATCTCGCAAAAGTATTTTTTTTTCTACCGCCAATACTTTTTTATCTCCTTGTCCCTTCCCGGGCTCCGTTCTTAACAATACACATTCCAAGTGTGAAGCCGATAAGATGAACAGTCCCCAAGATATATGTTCCACAGACAGATTTGAAAACAAGGTACAAGGGGGTTGAGCTCACGCTGACTGCTGTAGATCCATCCTGGATGCTTTCATGGTTCCCATCTTGCCCTCAGTGTGGGAAGAGGGTTGCTGGACAATGCGTGCCTGGCTGTTAGTCATCTGAGTGCCGTTGGTCATGGAGTAGGTGCTGTGTCTATTGTATTGATTATGGATGGAGTGCTGGCTCAGGCCTGTCTGCCCCTTTGCTCTCTGAATAAAGAGCAATTCACAAAATGATTAGCTGGTACCATGGAATAATTGTAGTTTTTTTGCTTACATTATGTTTTGTTTTTTTTAGGGGCTTCAGTGAGATTGTGGGTTTAAAGAATGAGAACAACTGCTCACCATGACAGGTGCAGGTGCAGCAGAAAATTGAGGAACCAAGGAGGGGTCACTGTGACTGGTTTTCAGCCCACCGGGACCCCAGCTGGAGCCTCTAATATGCTGTTCCCATCCGCCAGAGGTGCTTTGATATCTTCCTCTTGTGATTTTAGTGGACAGGGAGCGACTCTTCTGATAGTTCATCTAAAGAGAAAGACAGTGGGGTTCAGAGTAGATCACATGAAACGTTTCACTCAAAGTTCTCCAGAGAATGAGACACAGACATTTATTGAAAAATACACATAGAAAAATATCCACCTGGACCGGTCGTGGAAAACTGAAACTTAGATTAGGCGTCACAGCTAAAATACAGCTTTACCCTGAGGCTTCTCTCTGGCAACAGTCCAGGTCAAGAAGAAAGAAGGTAACCCACTTCCTATGAGAACAGATTTCAAAGACACCCCCTGTTAAGCAAGACGGAGGAATCTGACCTGAAACAAAGCCTGCATTCCTCGTTTTTCCCTCTTTCCTTCCCCCCCCTCACTCATTGAGTGTAGCAGAATGCACCGAACAATCGCACAAACCAAGGTAACATTATCCGTCACTGGAGACTCACTCACGCTGTGTGTGTTATGAGACTGCTGGCACTGTTGGGCACTTTCTCACAGAGAAGCTTTGTCTGTTCAAGTCGTCTGACATTCACATCCTGATGTCACTAAACAACTTAATCTATTGTAATAACGTATTTTTATTTTATCAATTACTTTGCCTTCGCTTTTTTAGCTTTATGTGTGTGTGTGTGTGTGTGTGTGGGTGTGAGTGTGTGTGTGGGTGTGAGTGTACAAAACACACAGTTCAAAGTATTCAAGGAAGAAACTTGGCATCACCTGAGAAAACTGACAGAACATGTCCTGCTGATGCTTTACCTATGAGTCATTTTCAAAGTTAAAGGTACAGTGTGTAGAATTCAGTGATATCTAGTGTTGAGATTGCATGTTGCAGCTGAACACCCCTCACCTCACCCTCCTCTTCCAGACATGAAAAAGAATCTGTGGCAGCCTTCATAGCCAAACACAAAGGGTCTTTTCTGGGGTAAAGAAAACTACAGTTCATACAATTTAGAGGAAACAAACTAGTGAAAACATCTTGAGGATTATTCTACATTAAATTTCTGCCAATGGTTCCCTTTCACCTAAATCTAACACACCTTTAAACCTTTGTCTCCTACTAGTTTCTGTTGAAATGATTAAAGTAAAATCTGATTTTTGTTGGAGAAAAACCTTCCCACTGGTGTTTCACTAGTGCTAGTAAGGAAGGAAGTGTGCACCATGCTGATAAAGAAAAAGCTTCCCTCTTTCCTGCTCCCAAGAAAATCATAAACATCAACTCACAACAATTTTCCCACAGTTAATCCCAGCATCTGACATGTAGACATTTTGATGTGCATTCATCGTTTCCTAACTTTAAATTAACTAAAACACTAACCACAACCACAGACAGCTTTAGTCTCCATTTGGACAAGCCGTCCTCAAATAAGTGGTTTTTATTTTGAAATTTGTCCCCAAAATTAGCCAATGCCACATACACACACAGTATTTTTTTAAACGACCCTGTCCTCTGTCTGTGTACCGACTCCCCTTCTGTTTCAAGCTGGACTGGTTGCTTGGTTACCAGCTATATTTGAGCCCAGCTACTAAGCAGCAGAAGCATGATGGAGGTCAGATCAGTCAACAACATGCTTGATTAGAGCTGGCAGCGGGTTTACTCTCAAAGTGCAGCTTTCTGCATCCTGTCATTTGGGTAGAAAGGGACTGAGCCACCGGGGCCTCTCATACACCAGTGTCTGCACTGGAAGAGAAGGGCGGATACAAATTCAGCAGAGCAAATACAAGCAGCACAGACGTCTGATAAGAGAACATATAGTAAAATATGAATTTACAGTCAGCAATTGTATTTAAGAGCAGTGTATACTTGTGTACTTCCAAAAAATGTTCTGAAGGAAGGAGGCAAACTGACAGCAGACATCTATAATGAGCCTAAAAACATCATCAACCCATCAAATGTGGAACCTTTTTTCTCTATCGATGAAGAAACCCAAAGTCATGTCTGACTCAAGCAGCACCAGCAGCCCAGGACTGGATTGCTTGCAGATTCTTGTTTCTAACATCTGGTTTATATTTTAAGTGCAGCTTCACTAGTCAGATAAACTGTGAGTCATGTTCTTCCATGAAAACAGGACTTAGCAGGAAGAAAAAAAAAGTTGACATAAGCAAGCAACAAGCTTCTGGTGTCTCTAAATTAAAATTAGAATATCAACCGAAACTGAATCGGCTGCAGGATGCTAACTATATCAAATAAAAAAAAAACAATAAATACAGATTTGTCTAATATAAAAGCTCTGGCATCAATTGCATCTTTACAAAGTTTATAATGTTCAGATCACCATAACATTGTCAGAAATATCTACCTTCAATTATAAGTTTATTATTGAGGTCATGGTTAAAGGTAGTAGATTATAGTTGTTTGTACAGGTGTACCTAATAAAGTGGCCACTGTAAATCAATGGGGAGAGACGTCACGACTGTGGCTATGAACATGGACAGGATATGAGGTTATTGGCTGCGCAATTCATTGTTTACCGTGCAAATGAAATTCATTTAAAATGTATTTTTGCCGGTGACATTCAGATAAGGTGACAGAATCAACACACACATTATAAAAGAGGAGGTGACAGATACGCAAGGAGTGATGATTATGAACATTCATTTGTAAGAATTCATCACCACACTCCCTAGACATGCCTCAACTGATCGTCAGTAGGTCAGGCCGCAGCAGAGCATTAATCCTGTGTGGAATTTGAGTTTGGTCCCGTACAAACAAGTTGAACTCAACCTGACTCTTAACGACGAGACAAGAATTAAAGCCAACACTAACAAAACAAACAAATATTTTCATACCCAAAATGAGTAATTGTAATTGTGAGATACCAAAAGTTACACAAAAGTATTTTTCTGTGTATGTTTAAAAAAGGTGAAAACACATTAATAAGTGGTTCAGGGATTGAGCTGCTCACAGACATTAAATATTTACAGCCATGTAGGAACAACATGACTTAAGGGAAAACATCCCACACAAACTTATTGTCAAATCATAATTTGATCAAGAATTGTGATACTGAGTAAAAACAATGCGCAGTATCTTAACTGACATTTTCCCAAAGCATCAGCACGCGACAGATGAATGTGTGTGTACATCTTCCACCACGAGTTCGACCAGCATCATTATGGTGTAAGGTTTCCCTGAGCAATGCCATAAATCACTCATGATGAGCGACATGTAAACTCACTGTAAACACTGTGTGAAAAAATAAACTGCTCACAGTTCAGTTTCCTCAACTATCAGGAAGTGATGTCAGCATTTTTAAAGCATGTGTGACTGTTTTATGCTGTCTTGAAAGAATTGTTTTTGCCAAGTGCAGCTTTATTTCCTGGACAAGAGAAGACTGATACAGTTCTAATGTGTAGATTCAATATGAGGCTTCAGCCAGACGCTAGTAAAAGCTCCAGTGTGTAAGATTTTGGCAGAAATTCAATATAAAATAATCCTAGTGTGTTTCATCTAAATTGTACAAATTGTTGTTTTCCTTACCTTAAAATAGGCCCTTTATATTTAAAAACATATTTATATCGGAGCGGGTCCTCTCTACGGAGGCCACCATGTTTTTACAGTAGCCCAAACAGGACAAAACAAACACCTTTTGAGTTTTTATAACAACTGAAGGCTACAGGTCCTCTTCAATGTTTGGAAGGGGAGGGTGAGGTGTGGGGTATTAAGCTGCAACATCCAACTTCACCACTAGATGTCACTAAATTCTACACACTCAACCTTTAACTTAGCATGAAGACTGGAAATAGGGTGAAACAGCAAGCATGGCTTTGTCCACTTCCAGTTCGAAGCAACATGTGCCAGTCTATTTCTTTCGCTCGTTCAGTCAATTCACTGCAACCAACCAGGAAATAGTCCTGCACATAACTCCTTGTACAACCACAATTTGTAATTTTTATATCTGGGTATTTGTGTGAAATAACCAAACAAATGTTCAATAGTGAGCCTCTGGTTAAAGACTTTGTTGTTGTTTCCAATCTCATTAAGCAACAAAAACACAAATTTCCCTTGAACTTTATGCATAATTAGTTATAATTATTTAATAGTTAGTCTTAGTTGTGTTATCATCACATGGTAATGCAGCTCTTAGTTTGCTTTAAGAAGCTTAATCTGTATAACCAAACAAGACACAGCTTTTTTTATGCTCAAACATTAATGCAGGTACATATTTATGTGAATTATCTGTTATTATGGTGAAAAACCATGACATGGTCTTTTTCTTCAGAGTCTGTGAAAGGGATTTCCACTATGATCATCTTTATACAATAACACACTGTGCAGTTACATGAGGAACAATTACCGCTTTGTTGAGGCCTGCTGACATGGCGGAGCTGCTGCGGTGGAAGGTGCCATTTGCTTTGGATGGATCAAACTTGAACGTTTCAAACTCGGAATTTGTCTGCAAGGTCTGGCCTGGTGAAAGAGGAGAAGTGTGAGAAAAAGCGAAACGAACAACAGAGGGGCACAGAGGCAGTGAAGGATGCAAGACAGACGTTCAGAGAGTTGTTTTACAAGGGTTAGGCCTGTTTATGATTAATGTCAGGTGGACATTCAAATGGTGATAAAACCCGGGAGCCTCAAACACGCTGGCAAGACAAAACGAGGGTGTGGTTGGAATTTAGCCACTTAATGTGGGCAGCACAATTTCATCAGATTGAAAATTCAGTGTGGTCATGAGAAGTACGTTATTATTTGTTATATCTATCCATGTGTTTATGGTTATATCTGCGTCCCTTGTAGTAACATTGCATTCGTCCTGAAATAAAGAATTAACCTAAAAAAACTGGTAGAAAAAAAATGTGATACTGAACATTGGCCCTTCATCACTTACAGAGGAATCAGACTCTGGTTTCTGTCACTGGGTAAATAGTCTGCTTCCTTGGTGTATGGTGGACAAATCAGCCTCTAATAAAAGTAATTAAATGATATTAAAGAGGACAAATTAAAGAGGGATTTAAAGACCGCAATTAAAGAAAGTGATGTATCTATATATTATTATTATATAGAAATAAACAGCCAAATCCAAATGTCTGACTTAAAGAATGGCACATTTAAAATTGGAAATGCATGACTGCCATTCCTTAAGTCAGACAGACATGACATCACATCAGTCACAGTCCGCAGGCTTCAAGCATGAGCTCAGGAAAATCCACCCGTCATGAAGAAGCATGTTTCAGCACCTTCGCCCTGCCTGTCTCGTCAGATGAATCATGTGAATGTGAGGCCTCACTGCCACATGGTGCCAAATGTAAGGACAGACTTTACCATTATAGGATTATCGCAGTCATAACAGTGACATAATCATCAGGGTGAGAGTGTCTCCCACAGTCATTTTAAAGGGTCAGTTCATCTAAATCATAAATACACCTGCAGTGTTTTTCTTTTCTCTTTGCCTCCGAGCAGATTGTTTTAATTTAATTTTGCCGTTCCTCTGCCCTTATCTTTGCAGAAACAATAAACCTGTTACTCTGGATAATTCCCAGACCTCACTGCTTTTTCTTCATAGAGACGAGTGCTGTGGTAGAAATGTATCACCTTATTGCACATTGAAGATGAACTAGAAACTAAAAGATTAATGAGAAGAATAAGAATAATAAAGAATAAGAGCAAACTGATTTCTAGTAGGCCTGCTTCATTGACTTTGACTACAGCGTCCCACCTTTTGTTTTAACTATAATGATTTTTCTCTCCAACCCTCCACTCTCTGTGCAGCACACACAAAAACAATTCTCCTCCATTGTGTTGGAGCAGCAGCAGAAACTGCAGAATGATATCCTCTAACCTCCTCGGCGTTCCACAGTGGTGAGTGTCCAAATAACTGAGAATCGTTTGTTGCTGCAACAAGATTTTCTGAACAAAATAATTAATGTATGTGTTTCTGAAACTATGTCTTTGCCTCAGCTGGATAAGCTCAAGGGCTTGAAAGGCTATTTTTGTGATTATTCAGTGTTTATCGACTGCAATGTGTTTTCTAGATATTTACCCCGAGCCAAGCATTCCCAGCCAGGATTTATACTTACACTTTTGAAGCTTTTTCTTGTCAGCTTGACAGAATCACAAATAAATAGTTAAAGGAAAATCTGTTTCAATTGTTATATTTGCAGCAAATATGATAAAGCATTTTTTTGAAGGTTTTATTTGCGTACTTTTTTCACTAGAGATGTTCTGATACCGATACCTGCATCGGAAATATCACTGATGCCAAAAAGCTGGGTCGGACAAGCTGTATTGTTCCGATCTGGAAATCACTTGCTGCTGTGCTGCACTGGTCACTGACCAGTGGTCTACTGTTTTCAGAGCAGCGAAGAAGAAGTGAACCATCATAAGAACCATTAGAAACTGTTTTTTATAAGGTTTAACCTGATCCAGGACATCCAGCACTGACAGCATCATAACTCCCATACAGGGTTAGTGAGGCTGTTAAAATACGTTGTATAAGATGTTATTTTTTAAATGCACTGGTATCGGACCAGAACTCCAGTCCAGGTACCAGAATTAGTATCAGGAAGGGAAAAGTGATATTGGAACATAGGTGGTCGGCTTTGGGCTGAGTGATCTCATATAGGCCACACTTTTCTCTGTAGAAGGCAATAATTTGAAGAGAGACAACTTTTAAACATATTTCACAGGCAACCTTCTTTGCAGATTATGAACTGAACTAATAGTAAGCCATTTACTCCAATGGTGCCATTTAACAACCATGCACAGTATATTGCAACTCAACCAGAGGAGCTGCACACATTTCACAAGAGTTAAATATTTTGGTGGATCTGGTCCTAATCCCTGTTGCAGCAATAGTTGGGATTGTTTTGACAGACTTGAAATTTTAATTTTCAAAATGTGTGTGTGGGATGTTGCAAGCCCAAGGGCTGCATTCCTCCGCCTGGGTGAGCAGAATATGTGTCTGACAATAATGAGCAATGAATCTCACCAACAGAACTCATCTCTGTGGTTCCAGCAGCAGCAGCCGTGGAACATGTTTCACACGTCTGTATTCTAAAGTCAGTTAGGTGACAAAAAAGAAACTTATAAACAGCTCCCCACCTGCGCCTGGGTTTCTCCCCTGAGGACGTCATCCTCTCACACTGAACTCTCAGAGTAGAAGCAGCAGAAAGCAACACAGAGAGACACCATGCAGTCCAGTTCCACCCTGGGAGGTTCAGAGCGGTTTACCTGTAGGTGGTGGAGACAGCTGACCGTTCTTCCAGGTTTTGGACTTGCCCCTCTTGATGGTGTGCACCTGATCGAGCACGCGCTGCTGTCCCGAGCGCAGCTTCTTGTCGGAGGGAAGCGCGAGCGACGTGTCCTCCACGCTCCCGATGGTCATCGCCGATCTCAGCGGCTCCACAGCCGTCATCTTCCGCGGCGAGAGAGAGCCCAGGGAGGGGTCGATGGGACCGGTGACCGAGAGGTAACAGAGATAAGAACAAAGCGCGGCTCCTCTAGTGCGCAGTGATCGCGGCGGACGTGTCGAGTGTGTGGATTGATTCAATGTTCCCAGAGGAGCGGCGGCGAGCTCCACCCTCCCGGGACCGCGCCCCGCAGAGGTGGGACCACTGTGGGTGGGGCCGGCAGAGTTCACAGGCAGGTGTGGGGGGAGGGGGTGGAGCAGAGCTGCGCACGCGCACACACACACGCGCGCGCACACACACACAGAGGCACATACAGACGCACGCGCACAGACACGCGCGCACCGAGGTTAAGGTGTGCAGTCAAGTGTGCAACATAGACAAAAATGTGTAACGTCTGCAAAGTAACGTGTGAAATAAGTGTCGCAGGCTGAGATGGTGTTTAACATCCGCACAACAGAGGATCAACCTCTTCATAGACAGTCTATGGGATCGACTCACGGTTCCCTGCAGCCGCTCATCGTTGTGTGGCGCTTCCTCTGCTCCCCTGCTGCCTGTCACAGACACAGACACAGACACAGACACAGCCACAGACACAGACACAGACACAGACAGGCCTCTATGACAGTGAACAGTGTAGATAATGTAAGAAAAGACACATTCTCAAAGTTCCTAACTGGAGCTGGAACATTTATAACTACTGTATGTAGACTCAGTTTTTGGGTAATACAATTTTCTCAGCTGGATTTATTTGACAGATGCACTTTTGTGTGGTCACTGTGTGGATTGTGTTCCGTGTGTGCTGTGTTAAATACAGAGGTCAAATGTCCCCATGTTTGCATGTTGCATGCTGTGTGTGGGACCATAAAGAGGAATCTTAATCTTAGCCTCAGTTTTTGGATAATACAATTTTCTCAGCTGGATTTATTTGACAGATGCAATTTTGTTTTTCATATTCTAAAATAAAATAATGTATCATCATTTTTGATGTTACTATAATGTTATAATGTTACTATTCATTAATGTTTGAAGAAACGCTCATTTTCACGTCGGTTTGCTTTAGAGGTTTCTAATACTTATTAAAAAAAAATTTAAATCAACAAAATATATAATCTGCCTACACTAGTGCATACAACTGTATAAAACAGTGTAACCACAGGAACCATATTTTGCAGTATAAATCAACATACAGTATACAAGTGTATACTGTGAAGGTTTTCACTTATCCAGGTCATGCAGGTGAACACAGGGAACTGGACTTGCTTGTGTTTCTTAAAAGACGTTTCACCAACATGTCTCCAGGAGACAGCAGGTCCAGTTCCCTGTGTACACATTTACAACTTCTGCACTTAGAGGACTTTCACTGTTGATATTCTATCACACTTTACATTCTGTTATGTTGCTGTATGGCTACTTTTACTTAGAGCTAATATGAGCACATGCTCTTTGAATAACCGGATTGTTTGGCCACGTTTCTGCAGGTGATATTTTCCCACCACACCCTTCACCTCAACTTTGCCAAGATAATAAACGCATGTTTTACCTGTAGTATACAGTATGTACATGTGTGAGTGTATGTGAGACAAAGTTCAGAGCCATTCAGCTGCTCTTTGTATATATTCCTACCAGATATCTGATCTGAGACAGATGGAGAAAGATGAGTCAGAGATTAGTTTAGTCTGTTGATAGCATGGTAATCTCTTTAAGACGGGGAGATTTTAGGTTCAGGACAAGGACGAGATGATTTTGATGATAGTATTTAATAGTTGAAGATCATGATGGAAAAGGAGACTTTGCACTGATTTCAGGAGATATACCGACACAAGCAACCTGTTATCCTAGTTCAGCTACTGTCTTTCACTGCTGCAACGTTGGTATGTTTAATTGGTGAGTACCACACCCTGCTGATGACTCTGAGTGTGTGTGTGTGTCACTGTTTACCACATGCTGTTTTGGCAAAATTACCCCAACTGTGATTAATGTCTGCACGCAAAAGAGCCAAAAGTGAGTGTGAGTGTGAGTGAGTGTGTGTGTGTGTGTGTGAGTGAGAGTGTGTGTGTGTGTGTGTGTCATCTTAAGCTAAATGTCACTCGAAAGCTTTTCCACAGTTCCTGTGGTTTCAAGTGTGAGCACCAACATGCTTGTGTGGACAAGAGTTCATTCGTGTTTAAAAGACATTGTTGTCACTTTGCTGAAAATAGCTCAAAACCCAAACAAAAAATATCACATGAAGAGAAGAGACTATCGTCACCACCACTTTGTAATTTGGATATAAGCAAAGAACTACAGCTACAGTTTATATAAAGTCAGTAAATGTACTTAGTTGCCTTCCATCATTCTTTACCCCACACCTGTACAAATAAACACAAATGAAAATAATTATTAAATGATCATTTATTGGACTTCAATTTCAGTTGTAGTGTTTTATTTAGGTTAGTGAAGTTAATTAAAGTTTTTAATAACTGCATGAGAGAGCTTCCCAAAAATTGTAGTTGAACCACCTTTTCTTGTGTGTGCGTGTCAAAGCTCAAATAACATACTCTTATGGTGTGTGTCTCTTGGAAGGCAGCCAACACACATAAAACGAGCAATATCTCTTATAGGATTTTGACAGATCATGAAAATGTTTGATCTTCCAGGTGGATTTAAAGATTTACGGGTGAAGATCCACATTATACACAACAAAGTGTATTTCTGAAGGGTTAAAAGTGGTGAGCCCGATAAAAAGCTAGTATATATATATATATTTATATGCTGATATTAGCCTTTGACAGACATATTGGTATTTGTTTGCTGACATGCATCTATAAAACTTTTATTTACAGAATAGATGTATATTTAGGTTTACATTTTAAGAGGAAAAAACTAACTTCAAGTTCTTTATATTTGGATGTGTTAGTTTTTTTTTTTGTTTTTAGTTATTTATATAAAGTTTGTAGTCAAATTATAAACTACTAAGCCTCAATCACATTCTTTGTAATAAGGAGTTCACTACAGCATCTTAGGACAATTATTTTAAAACATCAGCTGATATATTGGCATAGTATCAGAAATGTTTTATTCTCTTACGTCAGTATTGGGCCTCCAACAACCCGTACCGTTTGGGCTCTGGTGAACAGTCCTTTGACGTGATCTAGTCTGACAAGATAGCAGAAGCTTTACTGCTGACAGACGTCAACCTTTGCCCGTCAGCAGCAGCACATTGTATTGTAGCTGGTCTCTATCATTGAATGTCACTTTCCCCTGCATTGTAAAAACACTCCCAGCTGTGGTGACTGTACTGCATCAGAGAAGCACACTGCACTGCTTCCACCAATATGAGTCAATTACACTAGCGTACTTTTGTTTGCTGCTTGTTTATCAAAGACATCCAACTTCTTCAATATTTACAGAACACACGTGTGATGTGTAACCATATCGATGATGTGTTCATTAACAATGAGAGGAAGAGACGTTATCAAAGTGATGAGAGACATACTCATTTGTTGGTGCCATAATGAAGAAGGTAACGCCTGGAGATGATGTTGCTTTCTACACAAACTGGACTGATCACATTTACTGCTGCAGCACTGTGGGGAAAATGAGGAAACAGCGCCACCCAGCAGGATAAAATGGGAACTGCCATCTCTGAGGTGAACGATTTAACCTAAGATCACAAGTACGGGTTAGGGATGGATATATTTATGATACTGGTGCAAGGATTAAATATTGCAAGTACAAATATGACACTTCAACAGCTTTGTTTGAGATGGTTTTTCTATTTCAACAAAATGTCAACATAAAAGAATTTATAGTAACATTCTTAAACCTAGAAAAGTCATGAATTAGGGGAAATCGTATAAAATATCAAGATCAAGACTGTAGTTTAGCATTTGCGTTAAATTTCCTTCCCTGACTGCTCAATATTTGATTCAGTGATACACATCAGACGCTTCTCTAAAGGCACTGATGTTGCCTATCCAGCCCCAGGTGGAATTCCACTGAGCGTATGTGGTAATGGTTAAAATAGAGGCTTTCTTATTATCTCAACCATGGAGGTTGTTTTAATCTGACTTTGAGTATCATACAAATACTACTGGACGGATAACCACAAAACTTGAAGAGGGTGCAAAATTGGTCAGGACAAACCTATTTAACATTTTGTGCGGATGCAGATCAGGGGGGAAGATCCAGGAATGTTTTTTCCACTGAATTAAACATTGTGAGAAAGTTAAAAATGTAAAAAAATGCCCCATTTCTCAAAAAATAATTCATGGATCTTGATTTTCGAAAATCAGGCCTATATAAATGTGTTACACAAGTGGACTGTTGCACATTGGCAGAGATTTGCACTCTACTGAGTGTAACTCTACATATGGGTGAGTTGCTCTCTCTCAAGCAGCTCTTGTAATGTTTCTATCCAGACTCTAGAGGCTGCACAGTTCTGCAAACACCACGTGATTTTATTGGTACAGCATAAAGGCACAGATTTCATTCACTGAGCAGATTTGACCAAAGGAGTGATGAGGCACGGCCAACCAAAATACACAGAAAGGAAAGAAATAAAACTCATAAACATAAAAACACGTTTGGCCGACCACACAGTGAATGTTAGACGATCTTGCTTAAAACTGAATCTTAGTTTCATGATACAGAGTCAAATGATACATGGTTAAACATGATCCTGTCAGGAGGGGGTATGATAGTGTCAAATAAGATTCACAACAAAATAAAAAAAAATAGCTGGTAGTCATGTACCAAAAATTCAAAAATATTACATAGAACAAAAAAGAACAAACAAGTGTCAGCTGGATAGTTTGTTAGTGTTAACAGGCAAAACCCCCAGTGCACCGTAGATAACCTTAGTGTGTTCCAGACATCATTTTGCATACATCAAAAAAAAAAAAGAGAAAAAAAACTGAAACACCCATCATGATGTTAAGTTTAACACTTCTAGCTGTGCTGGTAAAAAAAACAACGGCAGTTCATCTTTACAAAAACAAGTCTATTCACCGTGTTTTGGCTTATAAAACAGTACCATTACAAATGTAGTGTACACATCCTATACATCAGTGCTCCTCTGGTTAAGGCTTTATATGAACCAAAGCACATTCTCATCCCAACTCACGTGGAGGTAGAAATACTGCAGCGAGCCCACACAGTCGGAGTAACAACTGGGTCGTGTCAATGAACAGTAAGGGTCGATTCAAAGTGCAGCTAACACCCAAGCGTGAACTCAATCTGAAACAGTTTGTGATTTTTTCTAAAAGACAAGTGAGCCGAACTTTAAAAACACCTCCTTAACATTTGATCACAACCATCCCCTCCACACGAGTACCACTGGAAACCTTTTAAACTCCCTCTCTACACTCCAACACTGTGTTTTAATATAAATACGACTGGTGTAGTGCATTATATTCTAAGAGGCACACTCTTACTTTGATTATACAAACTGTAGGTCACGACTCCACTGTAAGCAGTGATAGAAGATGCACCGTTATAGGCTCAATCATTTCCTGCTGTGGAGACGATATGAACTGTAGAAGAAAGTCACTGTGGCATAGTTTACATTAACACTGGCTACATGATTTGTTTGCCAACCTATATATTCAAACTGGTCTCACATCTGTCACACCCATGACGTAAATGCATGTGCGTGAAAAAAGTTAATTCTATTTAGTTTTAGTGTAGCACAGCTACACACTGATTGTTTGTGATTTAAGGATATCCCATCTTAACTTGATTTAATATAGCTGGCAGATTCCTGTGCCTCCATCAAGGAGGTTATGTTTTCACCCCTGTCTGTCGGCAGGATAATGCAACAAACTACTCAACTGATTTCCACGAAACTTTCTTTTCAGAGATTTTCGAGGGAATAATTAATGGATCTTGATGAGAACTGATATCTGTGTGGCTTGATTGAATCTAAGAGGAATAATGAGCCTTAGCAGCATTCTACTGAGTGCCATTCTAGTGTTTCCAGGTGTTTGTTTATTTGTTAGCAGGAGTCCACAAAAAGCACTGAACCAATTTGCACAAAACTTGGTGGAGGGATGGAGGACAGGCCAGGAAATCATTACATTTTGGTGCAAATTACCAGACTACTTCCTATTTTCTCTTATTCTTATATTATAAGAGCTAGACATAGGATTATTTGGCGGTGGTAGACACTACTGAGTGCCATATTAGTTTTTGTTTTCAGAGACATCAATTTCTCATTAAAAACTGTGATATTTTGAACCTGACGTTGTGCACAGAGGTTTCTGTGATTAAATAATTACACTGAATAACATAAAAATGCTTCATGATAAAGAATACATATTGTTTTGAAATCCACAAATCAATTGTTTGAAAGGTCCCATATGTTATACTTACTTTACACAATACTTTTAGTTATGATTTCCATAAGAAGATATATCAGAAACCGTCAATGTAGTTTAAAATCTCTTCTCTCACACTTCCCTCTGGAGCACCAACAGCTGGGTGACTCACAGATGGTCACTGCAGCCTATTGCCATCACTTGGTTTAGACTCACAGGAAAATGTAAATGAACCCAACAAGCCGTCCAAATCCGACTAAAAGGTCTGGCTGGCCCAGGTGGGCTGTGCTGGGGGCAAGGCTGAGAGGAGTGGTTTATGTTGTTGTGACATCATTAAGTTACAGAAGTCCTGACAGCTTATTTTAAGGCAGTTTCAGAACACAGGCTGTGCACATTTCTCCATGACCTGAGCGCTTTGATACTTTCACAGTATTTATACAGCACTCGAACCAGCTTCATAATAAAAACTATCATGAAAATGTCACTTGCTACAATATGGGACCTTTAAGTCATGGGATGCTGAAGAGAGATGGGAATACATTTACATTGAACAACAGGTGTGACTACAGTGGGACTGTTGGTCTGCGTCTAGAGTAGAGGAGTGGGGTTTCTGTGTTTGAGCTGGAAATAGTGTTTATACTCTATGTAATTAAAAAGTCTGTGGAGAGTCTCTGCATGCACGAGATGTGCTGCTAGTCGTTAACTAGTCTATAAACATGGTACTGCGCTCCATGTTCACTGGTGGACACTTCAAACACAAAAGCGATGCACAGCAGAGTCTCCTGTGTTTCTCTGTTGGACACCACCTAGCAAGAGACAAGAAAAGAGGAAGATATTTTGAGAGGGTCAGGATATAACAGTAAATAATATGGGAAAAGACAGCAGTCAAGAAATAGAGATGAAGAAAATGACAGAATTAACAGAACTAAGAGGAGAGGTATTAACATCTGGAGAGCCTGTGCAGTGATAACTTTCAGCAAAACATTGGGGAAAAACTTGTGATAAAATCACAGAGCAGTAGAAACCTTCTCTAGAAACCTTTCTCTAGAACAATATTGAATATAATCTCTGCTGATCAAGAATGGGTAAGCAATGTTTTCAAGACCTCACAATAAGAGGTACAGAGACAAAAGAGTGAAAGAGAAGTTCTTGCATGAGAGAGAGAGAACTGCACTGCAAAACACTGGTGGGTACGTGCACAACTGTGGCTGAAACTACAAGGTCCGACTGAGTGGAAGTTAAAAACGTTATGGAAAACTGCACAAGCGCACGGTAGCGCATTAGCATGAGTTAGCACATGGCAAAAAGAGGTACACACAACTGTACAATGCAGCAATGAAGAAAACACAGCCAGGTTAGTTTTTATGTGATTATGAGAGGTATTAAACAATTTTCGGTTCGTTATGAAACTGTGGCAGAACTAATTAGAATATGGTGGCCGGCTACAGTATAGATTATTAAGGGAAAACACTGTCCTCTACAGTAAAGTTAACTCAGCGTAAAACGGTTACACACACACCTGTAGGATGGTGAAGTTCTCCAGTACACTGTTCATCATGTATTTCTCCGGCAGGTGTTTGAGTTTATGGATGAAGTTGATCATGTATTCACACATGGGCGACCGATGGATGCGGAACACGTACTTTCCTCCTTCTAGATGTGCATATTCCGTCTGAACAGAAGAGGAACCCACGCAACATGCATCACGATTAGAAACACCTTTTCATACCGTTCGATATATTAAACACTGGGTTTATTCACATACTGGGCTGATTTTCTCACCTCAACCTTCTCCACCACCTGTTTACCAAAGGAGCAGACCTTTGTCGAGACGCTGATAGTGATGTTTTCTGTTCCACTGTACTGACTGCTCACACCGTAGAAGGCACTAGAACCCTCCTCAATGTCACTGCTCAGGTCCGCCTGGAAAAATCCGAAAAAGATGGACAGAGTGTGAAAAAGAGTAGAGGAAAGTCAGAAAGTCACCCATTTATGAGTGTATTCCTTCTGTGAGAGACAGCCTCTTGATATATGAAATATGAGACAGTCAATAAAATACTTATAGGTTATTTCCTGTGATTGCTGTCTCCTCTATTAAAGGTGTGTAGAATTTTGTGACAAGTTATTGTCAAACTTGCACTATTCCCCAATGATTCCCTGCCTTGTGGTAATTTGACTGAATTCCTTGTCTCAAACATGAATCTCAAAATTCCAGATTATTAACCAAAATCTTGTCATCTCAAAAGGTACCTCTAGTTTTATGTACTGACCCAGAACTTGACGAGGAAGAACGCATTGTGCGGCCCTTTTTCATACAGCTCCTTTAGACCGCCCTTCTTCTCAGAGAACTTGTCATAAATCTGCCTCACATCTATGGACTCCAAAACAGGGTCATTGTAGCTCGGGTTCGATGGGCCAATGTGCACGAAAAGGTGTTTATACTGTTGGAAGAAAGAGATGAAAAGGGGGGGGGGAGGTTGGAGGATTTTTTTTGTTTTTGTTGGATACATTAAAAAACGTCTGGATGTCCATACCGCCTCTCTGTCTCTCTGTGTCTCCATAAAAGCAGAGAACTCCAGTAGCCGTAGTTTTGCAGAGGCGATGGTTCTGTCTTGCCATACAGGCGCTGCTATAGCTGCAGGGCGATGGGGCGGTAGGGGCTCATAACCTTGAACCAAGAAAAAACTGTTAACAAAACAATTATCACGATGATTAATCAAATCAGTCAGTTTGTGTCCACACTTACTGATTGGAGCAGGGGCTGGTAGTGTAGTGTATGGCGGCTGTGCAAAGGGCTTAATGCTGTTAAATAGAAAAACCAGATGAGTGGGGAATCAAAAATGTGTAACTTAACCCAATTATTAATTGCACTTTCTCCAATTTAAACAAAAAAACCCAACTAATCTGCCAGTGATACTTACTCCTGAGAATGTCCAGGCTGTCCTGGCATAGGGCCGGGCCAAAACTACACAAAGGAAAGAAGGGAAACGGGGCAGATAGTATTACTCAGACTTTCAACCAGAAAATAAAAAAGAACAGATGTTTGTGGGTCTGTGTGTGTCTCACTCTGACTGGTGGAGGGAAGGGAGTCTGGGGTTTCATTACACTCGCAGACACAATCTGAGCTGATGAGAGGTTGGCTACTGTCTGCAGAGCCTTGTCTTTGGATACCTGGTCCTGAACATGAAAACAACAAAGTGACACACAATGAAAAATTCTCCTTCTTTCAAAATGCTGGTCATTACAGTCAGCGTAACTTAAAAGTCCACTTTAGACAACAAGCCAGCCAACTTACTTCAACATGATGCAGTAATGAGGGGAGACAGGACAGAGTGCAAAGCAGATATAGGGGGGGATGCCAAAGCAGGAGGGGCACCGCACTAGCAGGCTAGAAGAGCTAACTGGAGCCATCACCAGTATTGAACTAAAGCCACTAAAAACAAGAGTAATGAGAGTTTTGAGCCTGGCAGAAGAACTGCACTGTGTAGACAAGCGGTAATGTAATGCCAACCACGAAGCACAAAGCCTGAAGGAAAAAACTGGAGTTGTATGACCAAAACTTACCAAGTTCATGGCCTATGGCAAAAAAGACACGATATCAATTAACTTCAGTACATTCAATATGAAAGCAGGTCACAGAATCACTGTTAGGGCAATGAGGGAAAACACCTTGCTCACTACATACAAATCTTTATTACAAGCCTACCTCACCCCACATTCTAAACTTTAAGCTAACATTCATCTTACATTGAAAGCACACGCTATGTCCTACTAACCTGTGCTGATATTTACACCAGGAAACATACTGACCTAAATGTGTATTAAAGTACAGCAAATGAAATCACAAAGAGGGGATGATAAAACCACAGGAAGAGTGCTATGACAGGAAAGACAAAGAACGGACGGAAATGTTCAGGAGTGAGAACATGGAGATCAGAAATGTTTCAAAGGAGAAATTCTGCAAGTCTGAACGCATGCAAGGGGCGCAATAAAAACTCCCTGTGTGTATGCAGGTCTCCGTGTGTCTTACTAGATGCCATGTACATGCTAAGAACAACCATGCCACTTAAGCTACTGATCTCATGCAATTATCTGTCAAAGGTCAAACCTCTAACAATGTACTCAACTCAACCTCATTGCCATGCAAAAAATAAAGTAAAACCCTCGTTTCTACACTCAGCAACAACAAACAACTGTCTAATATGGACGTGAAGCAGTGAATGAGACCTTTAAAGCATAAAAGCAACCCAATAAAATATCTGACGATATGAGTTTGCAAAGACTGAGCCACACCATATTCCCACACCCACTAAACAGAACATTCTTAATGATATGATCAACTACCAAACTATTCAGAAATTAAATTCTTTCTCTTCTCCGTCAAGGTGTTCAAGTTGCTCTGGCTTGAAGCGTTTTCACACCTGAAGTCTGGTCCAAAGTTCATGTCTTTGTGACATTGATTACTTTTGATCTAGCTTTGGTTTGATGTTGCAATTTATGGAGCGCACTCAAGACACCACTTCTTGGTCGGACTAAATTTCAGTCTGTTGTTCTGGACCGTGGTCTGGGGCATATTTCACTTCTCAAATCTGCTCAATCCCTTCTCTGGTGCTTATAATAATTGTATATTTAAATGTATTTATATTTATACTTGCACAAACACACCTGCTGAGTTTATTAAAATGATGAGATCCAATTTGAAAGGTTGACAGGATTGAAATAACTGAATTCAATAATTGATTTGAATAAAAAAATATTATGTATTCAACATGTCATCGTAACATGTATTATCATGTAAATTTGTACATATATTCATTACAATATATAGTAATTACCAAAAATGTGTGAAAATGTGGGAGAAAATGGTAAAACCAGGAGACAACTTAACTATGACAAAGCATCAAAGGTACGTACTGTAACACCCTAACAGAGAAGCATAAACCTACTGCCTCATTGGGTTAGGTTGGATTTGGGCCACATGCAGAGTAAAGCAGAGGCAGTAAGCATGTGTACCTTCAGCTTAGACTGAATCTCGCGAGACTTTCTCTTGGCCAAGACTTGCAGGTGACTAGAGACCTGAAGAAACACAGGATGAAGGAAAAGGGGGAAAGGAAAAGAGGAGCGGATGTGACTACAGAGGGAGGGGAGAACTGTTTCAGCGGGCACCCACCTTGATGCTCGCCTGGTATTCTCGTACCCTCTTGCGTGCCAGAACCTGAATGTGACTAGACACCTAAAGTGAACCCCATGAAAACATACATTCAAAGGGTGATTTCTGCAATTTTAAACAATCACGGTCTATAAATTATCTATCTATTAAAACATGTGAAAGTATGCTGGAACTAGCAAATCATATTATATCAGATAGCATGTAAATACTCATGTCTTAATAACACCTGTGCGTACCTGTTTGCGCGTGCGTGTCTTCCCTGTTCGTAGCTTAATATAACGAGCGATTAGCTCATTTCGACCTAGAATGGAGAAACAAAAAGATAAAATCAGACAGGAACATGAAAAATACACATGGTTTAGCTAAAAAACAAATGTGCTTAGCTGTGATGACGGAGAGTAAGACAAGCTGGAGCTGGTACAAGCTGTTACATTTGGTCATTCTGAGTCAAATTATCAGACCTTTGTTTCGCACCATCACAGATCTTAATGAAATTTTGGCATGTTAATTTGGTCATATGAGAAACTCACGGAACCAAAATGTCATGATGCTCAGCTCCTCACTCAGGGAAATATAGTGAAGATTGAACTTTTTAAAGGGACTCTGTCAGGTTGTAGCTCCCTTAAGGTCCAGTGTGTAAGCTTTAGGTGAAAGGGATCTATTGGCAGAAATGTAGTGGATGAATAACCCTCATGCTGTTTTCACGAGTTTGTTTCATCTAAATTGTATGAATTGTAGTTTTCTTTACCCCAGAAAAGGCCCTTTATATTCAAATACTTTATATTTACATCGAGGGGACCCTTTCTACGGAGGCCGCCATGTTTTTTACATTAGTCCAGACTGAACAAACTAAACACCTTTTGAGTTTTTATGAAAACTTAAGGCTTCAACAGCTTCTTTTTATGTTTGGAAGTGGAGGGTGAGGTGAGGGGTGTTCAGCTGCAACATGCAATTTCAACAGTAGATATCACAAAATTCTACACACCTTTAATAGAGGAGACAGATAATTGGTTCTCGTATAATTTCAAAGCTCTTTTCCAGCTCCGGGTTTGTCTAAACAGAATGTTATCCCCAGTAAGAAATAACAGCATTATGAGTGATTAAAACAAGTATTCCATTCTAGCCTCATCAACAGAAAAATAGTTAAAAATCATGATGAGCCATAATGTTGGACCCAGTGATGCTTGCTGCTGATGTATGACAGTGTTCATATATCCAGAGCTGATCAAATAAATATCCAAAGGTACCACCTTAGATTTATTTTCTGTGGCACATTCACAAAACAGGCCTGCATGCTTTTAATTATACCACACTCATACAACTACTGGTCCAACCAAGCTCCTCTAAGCTGCATCGAAGACAAGAATGAGCTCCAATTCATTAACATTAATCCAAACTTAATCAGAGCTAGATCTCAATGTTACAACGCAGCAAACAACACACTACTGAGATCATGACTCCATCATGTTTTTCAGCCTCGGACACAGTGACACAGGATTGTCAATGTATGTTTAGGTTGGACTGAATTCACAGTTTATTTGGTATGAGGTTTTAGCTTTTGTGTTAATTTACAGTCAGATTTGGTCTTGCCTGCTGGCAGAGCTTCTTAGCAGATGGCCAAATAATGGAAACGGATGGGAAAAAAGAGAGAGAGGTTATCATAGTCAAGAGACGCCCAAAATGTGGTCACTAATAACTGCCAGCTCAGTTCTTTCGTTCTCTGCCTCCCCCTGCTCCAACCCACACCTAACGATTGACTTGTCTCTGATTGTAATTCACTCAGTTCACCCTTCTGCAGAGGCCAGAAAAGCATCAAGTTTAAGGTAAAGGCGATTAAATGATATCACTGTTGCAATCATCTAATCACATACACACACGGTTATCATCATCTACATCACCAGCCTTCTTTCTGGGAAGTGGTGTGATGCTGTTGGGACTTAGGTCACATCAGGCTGAGTCACTTCAGCTCCATGAAGTTACCAGAACACAGAATTCCATAAAATCTACAAAAAAGGGGCTGAGTCAGACACAGCATTCTGCTCCGATTCCCAAAACAGGACACATGCAGTTTCCTGCAGTCTATCACTACTCCACATAAGGCCAAATGCTTTTTCATCAGACCTAGCTGCATGCCCCTTATTAAATAATTTACACTTCTACATGACAACACGGAGGTTGGAGGTCAGAAAACATCGTATTACGGTATGTGGATTCCAAATCATATAATTTATCCCTGTTTCAAACCCTCTTCTGCTATATAAATTAGTTTTCTTGTTGAAAGTACAGACGACATTTTATACCCCCCACCACCCAAAAAAAATAAAATAAATAATAAATAAAAAAGAAAGACAGTGGAAAATACAGAGTGGGCTAGTGGGCCAACAAAACTTCATAATTTTCTTCCTTTAGTCATTATTAGGTTATGAAGTTATGTCTCCATCTCATTTGTTTTATTTAGTTAGCAAGAAATGCAAAAACTACAGGATGGATTATGACAAAACTTAGTGGAGGTATGCAGTGTGGGTCAGGGAGGGTTGTATCAGTAGTTGTATGACTCAACTACCAGTGGTGAATGGAGAATACTTAAGCTGTTTTCAGACATGACCAGAGAATAGGATCTGGACTTTCTCCAGAGTTTTACTTTCACACACAAGCAAAGCAGGAGAAGACGGGCAACATATCCTCTGGAGGCTTCATGTGAGGGGGGTGCAGCAGGTAGGGGCAGCACGTAACGTTTAAATTCTGCTGCAGAGATCACGTTTGTCCGGTGAAAGACAGCAGAAACTCTGGAGGCTCTCACTCTGACATTTGCCTTCACACATACACTGTCTCTGGAGTTCAGTGGATGTCTGAAAGCAGCTTTACTGTCAGTAACAGCTCAACCTTGTTGTCGGTTAAAGCAAATCAATCCCTTCTCTTACTTTTAATTGCCATAATTCTTGTTTGTATTTCCTGTAGCTAAGCATTCAACAGTACACAATCTGCTTCCTGTTTACACCAGCATACACAAAGGAAAACATGAGTATGGGTGTAGCCACAGAGACATTTGATTACCATTCAGTCTCTCATTCGCACCCATGGGCAACCATGCAAACCCCAGACAGAGAACCTTCTTGCTGTGAGGCAACAGTGTGTTAACCACTACCAGGGTTATTCAGAGTTTCTCACAATATGCTAAGGAGCTGTGTGTGGGTAGTGGTGGTCAAACAAACTGGTTTGAAAATGGGAGACCAGTGGGTGCTTGGGTTAGACCTGTCTCTGGAGTCTGTTTTACCAGTGTGACATGGTGTTCAGGCACACACCAATTACATAATTTGCCCACTGGCCCCACTATCCATTTCAGTTTCTATAGACATAAAACCAATTTGGTTGATTTTTGTGCATCGGTGGTATCATCAGATTATCATACACTTTCTATCAATACTTGGATGCTACATTTAGAGACTGATAGTGTTCCCTTAATGTAGCAGCAGAGAATGTCCACATCGTGTCATACCTAGCATGGGTATTACGTTCTAGGTGTCCGTGTAGCTTTACAATGTGTGAAAACGTGTCCCAGCAGGACAGGGGAAGTGGGGGTGGTCAATACAGTGAGCCCACATTTCCACAAAAGGAGAAAATGCCGCTATGCTGAAACAAACTTTCCCCTTCTGTCGCATGGGATCACATATCCTGTTCCCCCTCACAACAGACATACGCATACACAAATGCATAACACAGACTGCTGCAGGCGTGAATGCCAACTCTCAGCCCAAAAAATAAAAATGCTGGGAATGTTGGGTGTTCGCCAAGGTCTCCCATAAAGTAGGAAGAAATGGTCAAAATACATCAGTGCTCCACTAGCCTTCAGCCTCCAGAACAGATTCTACAAGACACAAACAAAACTCACACTACATGTGTGCATGCACCACATGGTATGTAGTCAAATAAACTACTATGAACCAGTCAGTAAGTAATTAGTGCCCTGTGGGAATGAGCAATCAGGGAACTTCTGCATATGTTGATCCTAACCTGACCTGAAATGTCAATCGGCTTTGTCCTTTGACCTCTGTCCCTGCTGAATGCACTTTAACCTTATAATGCCCTCTCCCAAAATTCCTGCAAGCACAACACCTGGGTAAAAATAAGTCTTTACAAGAAGAATCAATAAACCACTAGCTTCCAAAGTGCACATAGCAGATTCAGTCCCGGCTGTCAATCATGATGTTTCACCCCATTTTCATAGCATCACATAACCAATCCAGTCCAATGTGTAAACAGGGTTTGTTTACCATAGTAAATGCCTTTAAACTTTGTAGATGCCATACAAAGCTAGATTCCTGATAAAACTGCTGAAATGGTGAATGTTCACTGAAAATCAAATGTCTGAGACCATAAACGTAAGGTAAGAAAGTGTTTTCCGCCTAAGTGGAAGCTAGGCACCATTTTACTACACAGAAGAATGTGCAGTACAATAGTTTATTTTTTGCAAACTGAGCAGTGAATTATTTGGGATATTCTGCTCCTTATGGTTAATAGGATGACAACTTGTGTGTTAGGACAGAAATGTGTTGTAGTCCTCACCATACATCTTTCCCTCATCTGACAGTATGATCTTCCTCCTGCCGCAGGGAGGGTAGATGGCCAGAGCTTCCTGAAAGCTCTGCTCGATGTCTGGACTCCACACTCCCTCAGGGTCGCCGTCCAATCCACGGTCTGCCCCATCTGCCAGTCCTTCTCCATCGGCACCCTCCTCCTGCGCCCCGTCAGGGCTGCCACGGCAACTCCACTCCGACGCAATGATGACGGCTCCGGCCACAAATCACCTTGAACAAATGGTAAAATACTTTACTAATAACATGGTGCTGTAGAAAAATTGAAGGGTTTCAGACAGTTTTTCATTCACATTATACAAACATTAGATCAAATTATCAACTAAAACGTAAGAGCAGAGAGCAATATTTATTTTGACAGCTGATGAAGTTCGACAAAAAATACATAGCAATCAGCAAGGTTCAAGAAATTTGCCGTCTGCTGAAGGTATTTTGCAATAACCGAAATCTATTGTTTTGTTAAATTTATTACGAAGGAAAAAAAAGGAAAATGCAGAATTCTATTCCTGAAAAACACTTTCTGTTGGTATCCATATGAAAATGATTGTCTGTATTACACTAAACTCTTAACCGACTGGACATCTTGTGAAATATATTATTTTGCAATGTGAGAGGTGGAGAAATAGACAAATGGGCTCTGAGCAGAACCGGGCAACCGAGCAGAGCTGTATGCTGTCTCAGCACCACAGAACCACACATGGGATTAAGTTATAAAATATGGTTTGACTTAGAACTAGAAGCAAATCATGGCAACGTATTAGGGCCTGGAGATGAGGGGTTTTCCAAACAAGTTAAAGTACTGGCTTTGTTACTGACTGTGGCCACTGAGATGAGGCAATGTGACAATGGAGTTGAGTACACAGAGTTTTATTAACAAGGCCCAATAACAATCAAGAGTGGCCCTGAATGTCACATAGACTGATGGACAGGACCAGGATTAACTTTACAGCTGTTGAGAATGGTGAAAGGTTTCTTACAGTCCAAATGTCTCCGCACTTCACCAAGAGTGAGATCGGATTTGTCTTAAGTTGTTTACAGCTTCCATGGGTACAGGGTGTATTAATAGCCCTGGCATCTGGGGTTAAAGAACCGACAAACAAAATGGCAAAACATTAGAAGCTTATAAATTTATGAAGTCACTGGCCAAGGTCAACAAAAGCACTGACAGTTGGTCCTGCTATTTAGATACAACAATAACATGGACTATGATAGATGACAAACTGATTCGCTATAATGGCAAGATGAGTTAATAACTTTTATGAGCTAATTGTCCCAGAGAAACTTGCTGAAAAGATAATACTCAAGCCATATGATTTTCCCAAAAGCTTTCAACCTTGCCTGCCGGGGCCACATGAGGAAATTACACATTCTTTTGTTATTGTTGAAGATGCTCCAAGTCTCCTCAAACATACGCACACATGTACAACACGAGTGCTGCCTGGTGTGTAATGTTTTCCAGAGTGTGGTTAACATGGTCCCTGCCACAGGAGAACCACAGAAGATCAGCGTGGTCGCTGAGCTTCCCTGCTGTGGTGAGCTTATTGGACACACACGGCAACAGAGCCTTCCCAGTTTCAATCACTGCTGAAGGGACTGTGCTGTTGCCATAGAGATCAGACAGGCCCTGGTGAGATGATTAGGAGAGGGCAAGGCCTGAAAGAACATTTCGATGTTTAAGGGGTCTTGAAAGTTTTACTCAGTGAGAACTCTTGTTCTGACTGGATCTGATTAACCTTCATGTTCAGGGTTAACGGTCATAGACACCCATGGGTCCTATTAACAGCTCAAAATGAACACTGCTTTAACCTTGCTGATACTTTGTAGTGGTGCCTTGTTTGATGATAAATACTTAAATTGAGGTTTTAGAACAACTGAATTCATCTAAGAGGGGATATTCCATACTTTGACCTGTTGGCGCATTGAAATAAATACTCTACTTTGTATGCACCTTGGATCTCATGTCCACACAATGGTGCAATGGTTCGTAGATTAATTGATGAGTCAGTCAACGGAGAATGAGTCAGGAACTACTTTTGTAATCAAATGATAAGATTAGTCATTCTTTTAATTCTCAAATATTTTAATTTAGACAATTGTCTGAATAGAAATCACCACATCAAACAACATATTATAATGATTTAACTGGAGAAGCACAAAAAAAACTTTTTATCATGAAGTAGTCACAGGAAATGCAATGTGTCTGTCCACGAACTAAGCAAACACAGCTAGTCAGAATTGCATCTAGAACAGGTTTCCTTTGACAGCAGAACAGTTTTATGGGGAGTAATGGAAGAAGAGGAGCAGCCACAGCGATCTGTGAGGTGAAGAGCAACACACCTCCAACACCTCAGAGGTACTACAGCTACTTTCACTGTGCCCTACTGTCTCTAGATTCAGGCCACGTGCAACATAAAAGCACTTGCTAACACGATGATGGGAAAATTGTCCCAACATAAAATGATCATTTTGCAGCCCCAAGAAGTTGGTGACTTGTAGTATCAAACCACAATTGCTGTTACAACCAGTGACTAGAGGTGAAAACAAACAAAACATATGCGGTTTCTTCTTTCTAAAATGTGAGGATCTGAGGCTTTTCTTTGTCCAACATGAGTTGACTTAAGACTGTTGCTTAGACAAATTAAGATTAATGAATGCCACCTTTGTCTCAGGGAAATTGTTAAGGATACTGTTTTCTTCATTAAATACACTAAACTGAAAGTGTATAAACTGCTAGTAGGTTAATCAATGATAAAACTAATCATTCTTGTATATTACTGTATATAGACCTATACTATTGGGCACTGCTGCCATATAGGAAAATGAGCTAGGTATTTCTTTAAATGACACTTTTTGGCAAATAAAAATCAACTTAAACTTGTTCATATAACACCACATATGCCCTTGTCTGATGTGACGACAATGATTTGGAATAATTTCTGCATTTTGTCCCCTAATTAAAATATAAAAGTTCAGTTATTGGCAAACGGAGGCATTGTCTTTTCAGTGCTGTTTTCAGCAGATAATGTTTGAATATGGTAAGAAACAGTATTCATCGGGGGGAAATTTGGTTGATTTTCTTAAAATTTTGGACATGTTGCAGCAGAGTCTGTGGGACCCCAACACAACAAGGAAGTAAATCCAATGTCAACACAACACACGTTAACTTTGATTAAATCACTTCTGACACTGATCCAGCTGATATACATTATTGACAGTAAATAGTGAACTTCTGTGCACTCAATGGCCACTTCATGAGGTGCAAGTGTAAAAATCTAATGCAACCTAATACAACAGCTTCTTTACAAGGATAATAAAGTTGTTTTGATTGGTGGTTTTAATTTAACTACATGTTTATGACAAAGGTTGTACAAAGGACTATATTACATTAGCAAATCTTTTGAATGTTTTTCAAAACACATTAGAGGCACTATTTATTATAATACACAATATTATAGCACATATAACTTCACCAGACTATGACCTGAGTAAACTTAACTTTAAGAAAGTTTTAACAAAAACTAAACATGATCCTTTTCATTGGTGTGCATTATATTATATTGGTACGCCAAATGAGGTGGCTCAGCAGTGTGTACATGGAGATTAAGATTTAGGAAATCATGCAACAACCTTTTAGCTTTTGTAATGTACTAGACTGATGATGATGCAAAATTACAATATGAAAATTCACTGAAGTCAGTCATTAGCTCTGCCATTTCCAACATAGATAGATCCCAGTGGCCAAAAGGTCAGGTGTTCGGTGCAGAGGAGCACTGAACTAAATAAAGCAATGAGCTCAGCAAACACTGACAAGACACATGCACATTATACAGGCTGCCATCTGCTGCAATGGGAATAGCAGTGACGTTATGATAAACTAAGCTTAACTTCATCACAGCACTTTTTTAAGATTTCACCCTGCAGCTGAATATTACCACTGCTGCAGAGCTGAAGTTACCAAGCTCCAACATTAACTCAACATGACCTCAATCATCTGGTCATAACCATCAGGGTTGGTGGTGAACAACGGTGTTATTGTGATGCGTTATCTTTGACTTCTGTTGAAACCAGTCTCACATGTTGGTGAAACTTTCACAACAAGAAATGAATCCCAGCTGCAGCTAGCACGTAGGGGTGGAGGAGGGGGGGCATGAAATCACATTAAGCGGCTGCTGGGAGACGTTTAGCTAAACTGTGAGTTGGCAAGAAAAAAGCCTTTGAATCGAAGGCAAAACCTCGAAAAACTTTCAAAGACAGAAGTGGAATAGTAGCGAGAACACCAGGCAAAGAGTTAACAGTGTTAATAAGAGATTTCACTCTTTATCCTTCAGTGGAAGTTACAGGCGAGCCAGTGCTAACACACTCGAGCTGACATGCTAGTTGGTTAGCTTGCGGGCTAATACTACCCCCCAAAAAAACAACCTCCAAACTAAGTCCGAGTCACGACAAGAAAGTCAGCCCAACAACAGCACCGGGGAGCGGGTACATTAGAGAGGGGGAGTCCCTGCTCGACACACGAGGCTCTGAATCAACGAAGCGGCGGCGGGGAAATGCGAAATATGTGAAAAATCCCAAAACTTCAGGCGCACACGGAGCAGCAGCTGCAGCGTGAAAGTTGGTGCACACAACAAAGAAGTAGCCGAGAGCGCACTCACCTCACAACGGCTCCCCTGCCCTGCTCCTCCGGACACACACCGACCTCTTCACCGGGTGGTTTCCACCGCCGAAGCCTCCGTGTTTCACCGGCGAGAACAAAAGAAGATCGCGTTTGTGACAGGAGGAGAAAAAACGGCGGAATGCCAACTATGAGTTTTCGTGTGGAATTAACGCGCGGAGGAAAACGCACAGAGGCGTGGCGTCGAGAGCGAGCACACGCAAAAGTTTTGTGGATCCCAGCCACGCAAACTCCTCCCATGACATCAGACTCCTGGTGGGAGAGGAGAGTGGTGATAGTCCGTTTATTCTTATTATACAGTAAAATAACTCGGAAAATAAAATAAAAACAAGGAAATGTATAAGAGAGGGCCACAGGAGAGGAGAGGTACTGATATTAATCGTGTTGTTATTACACAGTAAAAAAGTAAAATATTTGTACTAGTATATACTAAACTAAAAACAAGGACATTTATAAGAGAGGGTCACAGGAGAGGAGAGGTGGTGATATTCATCTTATTCTTATTATACATTAAAATAACAAGTACAATATTCGCTT